TTATTCAACACCCACAGAACGAACCTGTGCTTTATACTGCAACTATGCTGAGTAGACTATTGTTACTGTTTTTGGGAAATGTTATCTAACGTAATCAAAAATTTGAACAAGGCCAGCACGCTTGGCCACGATGACTTGTAACCTCGTGCAAGCACAGCTATCGACGCACCCCCCAAAGGGTACCGTCTACCCAATTTCACTCACACGGCTTGGGTCAACCCGTGGTATGGTTATCAGGTGCCGCACGCTGGGATCAACCTCTCCAGTCCGATAACATCAGGAAATCTCCTTCTTGACAAATCAAACATAGTGAGATTCAATCCCGGGTTTCAAGGTCAGAATGGGAACGTTCTAACCACTCGGCCACGTGCCCATACCTAAATAGTAGTAGTAGTAGTAATAATAACAGCAATAACAACAACAACAATAACAACAACAACAACTCGGATTGATTGAGAAAGTTTCCAATAGACTCATTGAAGGGATTCCTGGTCGAAAAGACATACAAAAAATTATACTCACAACTACAGCCCACGCGAAGAGCTTTATCTATGTAAAATATGTGTAATTTTGTTTTTTAAATTGCTCAGTGTCATGATACCATTTGTGATCTTAGGTCTCTGGTCGGGACCCGGAAAGAAATGAGTACACGCAAAAAATCAAAGAAAATCAAACAACAACAATAATAATAATAATAATAATAATGAACAGAATGATTGACGTAACTCTTCAAATAATTGGCAACAAGGAGAGTTAATTTAAGCGCGATTTACGAAAAGAAACAGAAAATACACAATGTTTACCTATATTTTGACATATGCCTTCTTCAAGAATTACATACAAGTACAAAACAATAAAAAATTCAAGTCTTTGTACAAACGTCGCTTGATTTGAGAAAAAACGTTTGTACTGGTAATCAAAGCGAATGAAACGCAGCCATCAAGAATGAAATGCAACTGATACGTGAGTTATTAGATGGGGACCGTCCTCATCTTGAAAATTTTCGTCAGTTGATTAGTTAGTAAAAGCAATTAATCAAATAGTTTAGTATAAATCTTCTAGTATTCTCTTGTCATTTTGTGTATCGCCGGAACGTTTAATAACCTTAATGCGATATAAGGGTTGAAAGGTCAGTAGATTATGGATATTCTCTCCGAATATGCAACCTAAGTACTTTAAGTAATCTCATTCACATTCATTCTTTTCTTTTCTTTTCCCTGTTTCTTATTTTTCTTCTGTTTTGTCCCTTCTTCTTTCCTTTTTAATTTCCTTTTCTCATTTACTCATGCAAAAACATTAGCAACTGAATGGTTTGTTTAAAAGCACGTCCACTACATACACAAACCATCACATATATGCATACGAGCACATACGAACATTAATATAAACACACACACACGCACGCGCACACACACACACACACACACACACACACACACATATATATATATATATATATATATATAGATGTTATATATATATAGATGTTATATATATATATATATAAAGAGAGAGATGTTATATTGTTGTGAGGCTCTCCCCTTTTTACAAAGTATACTTATACTGACAGAGAGAATACCTGCGGTTGAGATATGTTGAGATACGTTGAGACACGTTGAGAGATACGGAGACAGGCAAAGGGTGTTCTCAGAGAGTTATACAAGAATCCAGAGAGAGAGAGAGAGAGAGAGAGAGAGATGATTGTGGCTTTACTTACAGAGACTTGTACATATACTTCTGCTAACCCGCATTCCTGGACTACTAATCTTCACTTCAAGTCTATTCTTACGTTTAATAAACTTATTTTTTCTATCTCAATTACTGGCGTTGTTTATTTATTTGTGCAGGATTCCATTCACGGAATCCACAACATATATATATATATATATATATATATATATATATATATATATATATATATATATATATATATTTATATTTATTAACCACCCCTAATCAAAATAGATTGAATTTTCTTTAACCTCAACAACTCATAATATTGTCTGTGATTATAAGTTCCGTAAATTTCTTAAAAAGTTATTCCTAATATCGCTTGACAATGGAACGAAATTCTGGAGTTTAATTTGTATAATTAAATTTATAAATTTGGTTTCAGTTTTGAAACATAGGAATTTTCTGTGTCCATATGGAATCATATTTTTAAAAAAAGAAAATAATTTCCTTGATTTCAAATTTATTTTCTTTATTTAAAGTAACGCTATTTTCTTGATGAAAACTCTCAAATTTTTACATTTAAACAATTTTCTACCTTTTCTTCTTCTGTGTGCCACGTCCCTTCAGGGTGTGGCCGACCATGGCTCTCCACAATTTTCTGTCCTTTTTAGATCTGAGGAAAGTTTGACGTTTTGCTATCTCTCCTAAACCCTGTTTGCCAACCATTTACATAAGCTTGTTGGGTATGTACTACTTTTCTCTGTTCCACTTGCTTTCAATATGTGAATGTCATATTTTCTAAGAAATCTTTTCTCATTATGTGCCCTAGAACTCCTAGTGAGTGTCCTTTATATTTTCATTTTCTCTAAAACATCGTCATTGCTCATATGATCAGCATCTTAGCAACCATATTTCTGTTGCCTCAAGTCTCTTCATCTTCATACGAGATGAGACTTCCGAGCATTCACTGCTATATAGGTGTACTGATATTGCATAACAGGTCAGTAGACTTTTCTTTTGTTTCTTACGATAATTTCCTGTTTCTTAATACTTTGCTTACTTTTGGAAAAACATCTTTCTTTCTCCCAATGCGCCTTTGGAATTCGGCGTCGCATTATCCGTTCTCTATTAAAGCGTCTTAGATATTTAATGTGTGTGCTTGCTTGATTTTGGTATATCCAATTTGTAAGTTGCCTGTTGATCTGTTTCTTTTGCTAATATAGTTAAATATATGAAAAAAGAATACGTCAATTTAAGCTGGAGCCAGAAGAAAATGGGTTAATGATCAATTAAAAGTTCAGTCGAAGTCACGGTGTCTTTAATCTTCGAAGACCTAAACCCATCTAACAACCAATACATCAGATAGATTTTTCTTTTTTAAAAACTCTTCATAATTTTCAATATAATGATGTAAAGATATGAAGTGAAGGTGATCAGATGGAGCCGGTACAGGAGATTAGGGCGGATGGTGTAAGATTTCAGTATCAAGAGCCAAAACGTTTTCCAACGTTCTTTTTTCATCTGTGTGCATTAACTATTATTAATATTATTATTGACGTCAAATTTCCAGAGTCCAGTCCGCCATAATATTTAGCCATAGCTGGAGAAGAAGAGATGGTTTAATACTTTTCCGAAGAATAATTGTGTAAAAGAGAATGCAACGACCTCGACCGGAGTTCGATTTCTCATACCGTTACACCTCCTGCGCAAACACAAAATCTCTTTAATTTTCAAAAATTGCAAGAATTCTTGCGTCATCCAAAAATGCTGACATCAGTAATGATGAATCAAAAGAAATATTCACTAAATTTACAGTTAAATTTAGAAAGATTCATTATTTTCCCATGATATTCTATTTTTAGTAACATACCAGGGGTTTCAAGTTCAGGAGTGCTGGGTGGATGGGGCGACTTTTCGATATCATGGGTCAAATGTTTAGCCTGTGCTTGTTAATATCAGTCACCGTGGTAGCAAATGTTGGACAGGAAATGTGGTTCTACAGAAAGATGTTGAGAATATTATGGACCGAACATTTAAGCAACGACGAAGTTTTAAACAAAATGAAAGCAAAAAGAACACTTATATTTAACATCTAAAACAGATGGTTGAAATGTTTATGTCATAATGAGGAAAGAGGGTTTAGAAAATTTGACACTCGAGGGACATATTGAAAATGTGGGGGCAGAGGGAAACAGCTCATAAACTACGAAACGAGTTTGTGCAAATGGATGTCAGAGCAGGGATCAGGGTAGATAGAAATACACCATTACAAATGACAGGAAATTGTGGAGAGTCATGATCGCCCACGATCTGAAGGAACAGGGTTTATAAAAGAGATAGGGACTTTAAATTTTGAAAGCTATTGTCCTTAACTCGAATCATGATACCAATATTTGTAAAAAATCTAGCTTATTGGCCATATAGGAATGTTGTGTTACTTTTGCGTAACACGGTTAGCCGCAACGATATCGAATCCAGTGTAGCTTGATTGATTCGTTTTTTTACAGCTTATCCCCCCACCCTTTTTTATTTTATTTAATGCCAGAAAAATATTTTGAGATTGTAAGAATTTGTTTTTGGAGATAATAATGATTTTAGTACTACAAGTTTTACTAATTAAGATATAGCTGGGATAGAAGAGGTGGCCTTATACATTCTCAAGTGAACATAACTGTTAGGGGGCCTTACCCATAATAACATAATGCGTAATAAATACTGCGCCTCAAGAGGAAGCAGAGAGTTCAGTCTGAAGTCGGGCGACCGGCTGACCGGCTAATCGGTTGAACTCTCTGACTTCGGGCGGGGAGGAACCCGAACGAGGCTACGTCAAAGGGCGGAGTCTCTTTCGGGGAGGTAAACCGACCCTGAACCCGTTTATACGGGTTCAAAGGATATATTTTTGGCCGAGCCCACGGGCTCGGAGATCCCACGTTAAAATCGCCTTGTGCCACATGATGCCCTCGTGGGGGCGTGACTAAATACCGTTCAGTCTGAAGTCTGGAGTGAGGTCCGCCAGGAGTCAGTCAGTCAGTCTGAGCGAGCGAGTCAGTCAGTCGAGTCAGAAGCAGTCCGAAACAGAGTCGCGTTCAGACAATTTCTACTAAACCTGATTGTTCGTACTAACACTATTCTACTTCTCAGTATATATTCCTGTTTGTAATATATCTGTGTTATTCCATACTTGTGTTCGCCTTCTTCTTTATTGGTTCTACTTTGGACTATCAACGTGGTACAAGGAACCGGACCATAACAATAACAAATCCAACTAGAATTGGAACTCTAGTTTCAGATTAACAATTATCCATGATACCACTCGCACATTCACGCTTGCAGAACCTGGTATTTTCAAGCGGTCAGTCATCTAGGTACTGACCAATCTCGACGTTGCTTAATTTCGGTGATCGTACGGGAAGCAGTGTTTAAAACTGATATGACCGTCAACGTCAATCAATACAAATATCTAAATCTCTACAGTGACGATGTTTCAACGGAATGTGGTCGTAAGAATGGAAGTGGTTGCGGGAACTGGGCAATATTTTAATGCCTAATGGTCAACAAGAATTGTAATGATAAACTGAAAATTAATTTCATTCTGCATGTATACAGAAAGTTTTCTACTTTTTTTTTATATTTAGGGTTAAAATTACAATTCCTTGATTCCTGGCTGTGGTAGTTGTGTATTTGATATTTACAACCATGTTCAGTTTTTAAGCAGAAAGAAACAGCAGGGTATCATTTCAAGTTAAAAAAATTCTATTCCGAGGAGCTACTTTCGTTGTTTCCCAGACTTCATGAATTTAAACGAGCTACTAGGTTGGCCTTTCGGTCCCACCCTTTTACTGTCGAAACGGTTAAATGTAACCGTCTCTTCTACTCAAACAGCTTCTTCTCTCGCACTTCCCGCCTGTGGAACTCTTGCTTGCTTCCTCGATAACTATAATCTTCAAATATTCAAGTGTAATGTCAATCGACATCTGATACCTTGATCTTGTTCTCCGTCCTTCTCTGTATCCTTTTCTCAAACATGACTCTTTAACTTTTTTCTCAATCCCCTGTAAGCCCTTGCGTGCTACTGGTATTCCCACCTTGCTTGGGGTGAATTGCTTTAAAGAAAAATCTTGTAAAAAATTTTCCTCATACAGTCTTCCTACTAGCATTTAACCCGTGCCGTAAAACGCTAATGTCAATATCGTGAAGAGCGTTAATGTAGAACGAATGAAGGCAGATGCAAGATATACGACAAGTATTCGATAGCTTGTTTCATTGATAAAAGTTTGAAAGCTCCTGATTCCATTTCTCTCTGTGTCATGTTGCTGCTCTAATGTGTTTCCCAATTAAAGAATAATCTCTGAAATACCGAAACAAATACCATGACTTATTGCGTTGATATACTTACATAAAATCATTGTAAAAATATTCATTGTAGCATATTTACAAGCTTGCATAAATCTCACAGCGTTTTTGCAACTTAAGAATTCATAATCCTTCCCAGACTTCAACGGACAGTTGAATACATTCTTTGTTTTTATACTGTTTCCCGGGCGTTTAAATGCTTTTCAGGAGTATGGCAATGAAAGATTATTTCTTTAAAAATTCTTCTGGTGAACATCAAGAAATAGATGGGAACAGAAAATACAAAGCAATTAGACTACATTTAACATTATTTACACTACTTATAGTTTGACTATTGATCCCATCTTTTTTGTTTTTGTCACAACATTTCGGCTGTTGTGCCCTTCGTCTTTCTTCTGGTGTATATAATTCCCCGCTCTACTGCATTTCTCATGTGTTTTGCCACGGTCTGTATACCTTACGTTAACCGGGAAAAAGTTTCAGAAGATTTGGGGTTCATACAACATGAGGACAATATTTAGGAACAGTTCCACTCTGCGGAGAAATCTCTGCTGAATGAAGCCCAACAGGTTGGATAATATGACCAAGAACTGCATGTACTTAATTCCATGCAATTGTGGCCGAGAATATAAAGGCGAAAGAAGTCGCTCCCTGAAAGTAAGGCTGGCGGAATAACGAAAAGCCGCAGTGAGAGATGAGACATTGAAATCAAGCATGGCTGGAGGGAAAGGAGTGGTCTTGATATTCTGTGGAATAAAGTGAGACATCTGAAAGAATCAGTGCATGTACTAGACTATGAGGGCCTCCTCAGTAGGCCTAGCATAGAAATAAATACAATGCGCGAGCGGCTAAGACAAATGACATCAAGGCTTCAAGCGCATTATTAGCAGCAGCAGCAAATCGACATCTCCAGTTGCCTTGATCTATCCACTATCCTTCTCCTCATCCTTTCCTCTATCACTCCTATCTGATCTTGCTCCAAGTCTTCTGTAGCCCTTTGCGTCCTAGTGGCTTCCCGCTTTGCTCGGGGTGAAACGCTTAAAAAAAAAAAGAAGAAATCAAAACATCAGCACCAGAAGCAGTCAATACATGACAGCCAGCAGCCTAATCAGCAGTAACAGTCTAATCACCAGCGAAATATTACATCGGGACAATTGTCTAGTGGATGAAAACAATGGTTTGTGATTTTGCTGACATAGTGGTTGTGAGTTCAATCCCTGTGTCGGGCAGTGTATACTTGAATTCAGTCGAATAAAAATAAGAACTAGGCGAGATGGACAGTAGTACAAGATTAAGTCTTCAGTTCGTCATTGCCTGTAGGTAACCAACTCGATATGCACTTGAGGAAGGCCGGGGTGCACAACAGCCGGCATGTTGGAATTATAACAACAACAATCAGATATTTCAAATATAAATAGTGTAAATCATGACAAATCTTCATTCCAGAAATTCAAACAAAATTTATTTAAAGTAACGTTATTCTATACATAAATTATTGCATTATTATTTCTTTCTTTTTTTCTCTGAGTAAAGATTCTCATTGTCTTTGTATGTGTTATACCGGAACATACCTATTCTATTGTAAATAGACTCTCCCAGATATGATAAGTAGTAAGTAGTAGCAGTCGCCAGGGAGCTCAGTGGAGTTGGTGTGTCAGTCGATGTCGGACATTAAGGTATGAACCACCACAACTAGATTGCTGCGTCATTAACTATTATTTCAAGTTCCTAACGTTTTGCACGTCGAACCTAATTTAGGACCGACTTAGTGAAATACAAGCCTTCACTCTGAAAACTACTCTACAACAGTATGCTAAGCAAACATAGTCCTGAGTATGATGATAAAATGCAGCCAGAAACAATGCCACTGATCGGGAGATTGCAGGTTTTGAGGAGCATAGGAACTACCTCTTAATTACTGTTGTTCTCAGATCCACTTTAACCTGAGGTGGTAGCGCCTATTAGGGATCTAGCTATGGGCAAATAGTGAACACCCAAAACAAAACAGGACACTATGAAAGTAGAGAAATACGTTTTTATAGTAAAAATACAGTGTAACCCGGATATAAGAGAGTTGTCGGGACCGGAGAAGAAGTCTCTTATATCCGGGTTTCTCTTATATCCGGGTTTGGTCTATTTTATATACATTAACACAGGCTCTAATTTGGGACCAGAGAAAATCTCTCTTATATCCGGGCTTCTCTTATATCCGGGTCTCTTATATCCGGGTTACACTGTACCAGAAATACATTTTTATATTAAAAAGAAAGATCAGCAACATCTATTTATGGTAAAATTAATACCAATACCAATTTATCATAGAATGATCAACAAAACATTTTATCTATAGCTGAAGGCATCAATTACGTTTAAAATATCTCGTAGTCGAAGCCATAAAATTGTATTCAAAATATTTAAATTTCGGTATTAAATAATACTTAAGTGTCTAAGTTTACACCAGCAAAAAAATGCAACTAAAAATTAACCAGCCAATTAAAGAAACGATTATATAACATGTGTTGAGAAAAGAAAACCGCTCTAATGTAGATGTGCCTTTGACGCAGACGATAGGCGGCCATATTTACTTCTGCTGAGGAAAATTAAAAAAATGGTCTGGAAATAGTGACGTTAAACATGAAAGTTTTAAGTGCAAACGAACCAAAGGCTTCAATGTAATCAATCCTCATTGATTTCTTCAAGAATTCATATTGAATGTACCTGTACTATTCAGTCAGTTAAGTGTCATACATGATACACGGTTGGTTATCTATTTCGATTAATGATTGTCTAGGCAGAAGACATTCCCGCAGTAGGCTGCCGTTTCTTTCTGTAGTAAACTGGTTTCCAAACAAGGCTATAGGACTCTGGCTATTCTGCTATTCAACCCATAGCTCGTGGGAAGAAGAAGAGATGGATTTATACTTTCTCAAAGGTATTTGCACGTAACTAATCCGACTGGAATTCGAACTCGGCTCTTCGATTTCTCACCCCGGGCCGTTATCTATTACAACACACCAAGCAATATTAAATAGTTTAAAAAATAAATTCTTTCATGTATGCAATGTAACAGAAATGACAACAGTGGTCCGCCTTGCATTCCTGACATTTTTTTTTTTTTTTGCTTTTTGCAATGAGAGATAAATCAATTATTTCTTGCCTTTTCTTTTTATTCATATTTTAATGTGACTAATGTGACATTTCGAAAAATGCAAATATCAGCAGCTTTTAACAGACGTATACAAACAGCGTTAATAAGCTGTTTGGTAAATTAGATTCTTGTGTCTTAGAAAAATAATAATTTTAAGATGCTTTTCTTTCAGCAATTTTTTTTTAGATATATAAACGAATGGAGAAAAAAAAACAATCAAAGATGAAATGCTATTTAATTTTGAAAAGTGATTTAATCCCAATTGACATTCTCATTTATTATCAGAATTTTTTCCTTCATCAATTCCCATTTCTCCCCCTTCACCTCCCATCTTCTTCTTCTTCTTCTTCTGCAATATCAGTCTAATAATTACCTGTACCAGAGATGTGAATATTTATCAGTAAACGCGTATTTAATTGTGTATGGATATTGAAGACAAAGAACTCCAACAGAATATTGCGATAAATGATTTATAAGCAAGTAATTTTACACACAAACGCGCATCCCTATGCATGGGTAAACACGCACACCGAATACTGGTGGAAAATAAATGTACTGCATAGCTGTCTCGGGTTAAAACTTACGTCAGGCTGGGATCAAAGTAAAAAAAAACAAAAAACATCTATTCTTTACCTGTTCTCTCCACCATGATTCCCTCTTAAGGCGGTTCAAGGAAAAATCTTTGAGGTATGTCTGGTGGTGAGGATTTCAGACCTGCAACAGCATTTCCCTTGCTGTACTATATACAGCAGTAGGTCGTAACACGTTTATTTATCATCTCTCAGTTGCGTCTCTGTCTTTGGGCAGATTGCACTCAGGGGCGGCTTCGTCGAAGGACAGATTAGCAACTGAGGAAAATTATACTGAGAGGTGCCCAGTCCTGGGGAACTGCTGCCCGAGACCGCGCATTATCATCGCACCAGAGAGAGGGATCGGTGC